TCGAAAAATAGACCATTATAAAATTCATAATAATCTATTTTTCGAATTACAGGTTTTCCCTTTTCGTCACTCATATACAATCGTTAGTATCATAAAGTCCGATAATATTTGCATCAAAAAATGATACGTATGCATCGTTTGTTAATCGGTGAAAATTCACAAACGACTCCTTATCGACGGGAATCAGTAAATGACATGCAACAATTATATAATAAACAGTTGATTTATTGACTTTTTCCATGCCCTCAGTTCAAATTATAATCACAATAAATTGCATTCGGGAAGCTTTTTGCTTATCAGAAATACATAATTTGTACAATTCTTATATACAGTTAGTGTTGTAGGTTAAAATAATTTGCATAAGTTTCAGTTGATTAGAATTTTCATATGAAATATAAACATTGGCTTTACAAAATCTGGTCATTGTTAATTTCATTTTTATTATAGCTCCCACCGATCTGCTTAGCATACTACTAGAGATAATACTAAAGATACCAAATAATCAAAATATAACGTGGAATCCTGGGAATTTTATTTCTAGACAAGGTAATTTGAAAACGTGCCAAAAGGATCGGATTTTTTTCACGAAAAACGCGATAAATTTTCTATACTCATTCTATATTAACGCTCTTTGCAAATTATTGCAACAAATTATTTTTGTGAATCCCAAGAATTCTGATATCACCATTATGAAAAACAATGGTAATATACAGAATTAAAACATAACATTTTTATATATTCTGTAAATTTGCATATTGCCATTATTAAAATATTAGTAATACACAAAATTCATAGGATTCACAAAACTAATTTGTTGCACTAATTTGAAAGCGCAATTAAATCTTATGTAATGTAACATAAATTCTATTACCAGATACATAATTACGTAGCATAGGTATACAAACCCTTCCAATTTATTATAACTATCAATGGGCACGTAAGTGGTTAATGATTATTTTTTTTTTAAAAAAAAAAAGGCAGTATAAAAACAATTCTTTTCATTTTTGATTAGTATAAACTCTGATTTTTTATCAACTGATTACGGTTTATGTACAAGTTGCAATAGTCCAAATGACGATGACGATTGGTGCCAAAAGTGTAATGCAGAGAGATTTCGTCAAGAATTTGGGAATTGGACTAGCGGTAATAAATATTTGGATGATTTTATTCAAAGCTCTCAAATTAATGCTATATGTGGCGATGAAGTACTTGAATGGATACCGTATAATCGATTAACAAATATCAAATTTCTTGCCAAAGGAGGATTTAGTGTTATATACAAAGCTGTTTGGTTGGATGCTAATATTGAAAAATGGAATGATGAAAAAAAATGCTGGGATAGGGCAACAATTGAAGTAGTAGATGATATTAGCGATGATGATTGCATTAGTGAAAATTTACTTAATGACAATATTTTAGATAGTCAAAAAGTTAATCTTCCTCTAGATGTAGCGATTAAAAATTTAAATGATTCATCAGATATTGGTGAAGAATTTTTAAAAGAGGTAAAATTTATAAATTATGATCTCTATTTATATATCATATTTATTTTTAAATTTATATTTAATGTCGTAAATATAGTGGAAAATGCATCTTGATTTTCAACGATCTTATTTAAAATATGGCGGTTCAACTGTGAAGCTATACGGAATCACACAAGATCCAAATACATTGGATTATATGATAGTGATAGCATAGCGGGCTTTCATTGTAATTGGCTGATTTTTGTAGATCATCCCGTGATATTGCAAAAATATCATTGGTTA